GCAGAAACTCGAGGAGGCCGAGTCTCGCCTCGCTCAGCCAGAGCTTCTGGTGTGGCGGGGGCGCGACGTGCCAGCGATAAGCTCGCAGCCCGACTCCCGTGAGCAAGAGCAACGCTATGAGACACACGGGAAGGAGCGTGACGGCGACGAGCTGGGGTCCACATTGGACCGGGAGAAAAGCCTTGGCCCAGTTGAGCGAAACCCAGTCGTTGAGCTTGTAGGTTGGTGACGTGAACTCTTCCGGGAGCCGCGCTGAGTAGGTGACGTCAAGAACCAGCGCTACTTGATAGAACCCGAGCAGGATCTTGAGCTTTGCCGTAAGGCTGAACGTGGCGAATGCGGCGACTGCGCGGTCGGCGAAGCGGAGAAGAGGGCCGATGCATGGCTTGCGTCGCAACATTGTCGTTGAGTAGACCCACCCCGCGATGGCGCACGAGACAAAAAGGCCAACGAAGAGGGCGGCGATGTTGCCCACCATCACCCCGACTGAGGGACACTTCTCGCAAGTGCCGCTATCACTTAGGTGGCTGTTATTGGCGCAAAGCTGGCACTCGGGGCCGGTGAAACCTGCTGCGCAGTAGCCATCGCCGTTCTTTCCCGCCTCGGAGCCGCCGACGCACCGCCTATTTCCCGCTCCCCCAAAGTCGCGGCACTTGTAAAGCACGGCACTCTTGTCACTAGCGCGCCAAAAGCCCGGGAGAAGATCGATGGTTTCGATGGTGCTGTTGGCTGCACATTCGGCGTTGTTTGGGCAGCTTCTGCACTGCGGCTCGCCATCGTTATTCGTGTCGATTAAGTAATAGCCGTCTGTGCAAAATGGACACGTTACGCTGCCGTCAGTGCTGGAAAGAGGATGCTTGCACAATCTGCAATCCGACTCAGACGTGCTGTAGAAGCCCGGTCGGCACTTGATGCATTCCTTCGCGCCAGGACCGTCTGTCGACCAGCCCTCAGGGCACGCCAAGCAGAATCCCTGGCCGCTGGCGTTCGAGTACGTCCCGGCTCTGCACGGTCGGCAAGTCGCCGCGCTGGTTTGCGCAGTCTCGCCCGAGTAGGTGCCGGCAGGGCAGTCGTCACAGGCCTCAGCCGAGGCGAGGCCAGACTTGTTCGACCACGTCCCGACCGGGCATCTCTTGCAAAGGCCGAAGTCGTCCGCGCCGCTGTAGGTGCCCGGGTCGCACTTGGTGCACCTCGAGGCGCCAACCGGCGACGACTCGCCAGGAGGACAAGTGTCGCACTGCCCGGAGCCGGCCGCCGAGTAAGTCCCAGCGCGGCAGGGCTCACAGGCGTCCGAGCTGTTCTCGCCCGTCGATGACCCGAAGCTGCCGGCGGCGCAGGGCGTGCAGCCGCCGGCCGAGGCGAGGCCAGGCTTGTTCGACCACGTCCCGACCGGGCAGCGCTTGCAGATGCCAAAGTCGTCGGCGCCGCTGTAGGTGCCCGGGGCGCACTCGTGGCAACAGTCGCTGCCTTGATTCGACCAGGTGCCAGGGGCGCAAGGCGCGCACTTGTCCTGCTTGGGCGCGTCCGTGTACGACCCCTTGGCGCACGGCGTCTGCTGCGTCGTGCCGATGGTGGCAAAGTGGCCCGGCGAGGCGTCGGTGCACTCACTCGCGGCGGTGAGGTCTGTGGCGTTCGAGTACGATCCGGCGGGGCAAGGAAGGGGGACGCTCGTCCCTTGCGGGCAGTAGTGGCCAGCAACGCAGGGCAGCGCCTCATAGGTCGCCTCTGTGGGGCACTGGAAGCCTGCGGGGCAACGGCCGGCGCAGCTGCTGCTCGACTGCTCCTCGGGGTCGGCCGAACCGAGGAGGCCGGCGGCGCAGGCGAAGGGGAAGTCCTGCTCGACGGGAAGCAGCGGCAGCTGGTAGATGCTCTTGCCGAGGAGGGAGGGGTCGCCTCCGGTCTCGATGTTCCAGTTGCAGGGCTGCATGAAGGTCGGGCCCGCGCAGTCCCACTCGCTCGGAGGGAAGAGAGTAAGCGAGCAATTGTCGCGATGCTTTGGGCAATCATTCGTGAATATGCGGTCCCAAGCATCTTTGCCCGCCTTCGTCGGGCACGACTCCCGATATATTTCGCAGAGCGCGTTTGGCAGCCAGCGGCCGGGCGGGGCGGGGAGGGCGTAGGAGACCTTCGCACTCACCGACACAGTGCGCCCCTTTGGCGCGGTGCAGCCGGCAATGAGTGTCCCATCGCTGAGGACAGTTTCTCCCCCCCCCGAGAAAAGGCCGCCGCCAGCCGAAACGGCGTCACAGCGAGTGATGGCGGACGAGCGAAGGCGGCACTTGCCCGAGAAGATAAAGAGGCCGCCGCCCTTGTCGGCGGAGCAATCGCTGATCTTCAGGTTCGAGCCTTCGACCGAAGATTTTCCACCGATCACGTACACAGCACCACCCTGAGGGCATTGGCACGCGTGAGCCTCAGAGCTGGCGGTCGGGGGAGAGAGAGGCGCGGTGAGGCACACCTCATCGGCTTCGCACTCGGTAAAGATCGCGCCATACACGTACACCTCATCGCTGTCATACACGTACACAGCGCCGCCGTACTGCACGAGGGGGCATCGACACGTGCGAGCGTCAGCGCTAGTGATCTGGCAGGGTCCCACCCGTGCAGTGCGGGAGAGGAGGGCGAGAAAGCGACGCACCGGGCCGCTACATTTGGTGAAGGTGACGCCGTGCATCGAGACAATGCCGCTCCCATCCACGAACACAGCGCCGCCACCCCTCTGAACACATCGCGGGCATGCGTGGGCGTCAGAGCTAGGTACCCAGCCATGCGAGGGCGATTTTTTGAGAGGAGGGCGGAAGAGCGACGCACCTCGGCTCTGCATCCGGTGAAGGTGGTGCCGTGCATCGAGACGTCGTTGCTTTCATCCACGTACACCGCGCCGGCACTCTGCACAAGGTAGCATACG